ATCAGAGCTCTCAAAACCAGTAAACAAATTTTTAGCTTCAATTAAAAGATTCACACTATGCCTGCTAACGAGAAAACTAAGTAGCTCTCTGAAAACAAGATTTCTATTATCAGATCAGCTGTGCAACCTTTGCTTTCCTGTTCTGTATGTGTTTTGTGAGTGTAAACAAATGCTCTTCATATTTATTAGCATGTGTTTTTTGTGGCACCTGGCACAAGGCTTTATTCTTTACCTGAGTCCAGAAGCGTTGCTGTAACACAAACACTAATGAATACACAACAGAAAAGGAGACCCAAGTCTTACTCAAAAGAGTCTCTGGCTAAGGCACCACAGGGCCTTTAAGAGATTAAAGCATCCAACTAAGCAAATAAAAAAAAAATGAAAAATTCAAAGAGTGGCAAAACATAACCTTCTGTATTGCACTGAGTCACAGGGAGACAAAGTACTGAATAACTACCTGGGTACCTGTGGTATGTTTTCTGTATAGATAATTCTAATCTCATTCTACACAAGTTAACCACATTGTCTCCTGATTAGGATTTAGGCTCCCAGACACTCAGTGGGAAGACTCTCCTGACAGCTTTCCTGCTGCCAAAATGATTAGTCAGAACTCAGCATCTTCATCATATTGATGAGGTAAGAAAAGAGAGAGCATCAAGAAATACAACACGTACTGAGAAACCAGTAACAATGATGAACTCTTTGGTCTCTAATGCGAGTGGACAAAGTTCATGCGCTCCATCATTGTAGCAATCACTGTTAACAGGAAAACTGTCACACGGTGCTTCTTCTGTCAAGTATGACTAAATGAAGGATTAAAACATCTTTACTGAGGTTGTCAAGAATTTATAGCACTACAAAAGATAAAACTAGTGCTGCTATTCCCAGTTCTGCAACAAACTAATCATCCTACTGCTGTAGTTACTGCTGATGAGATTTTTCAATCCAAAGAAGAAAGTAGGATTCCTTCTTATATATGGATGGAAACACAACAACTTCAAAACTTCCTTGTGATTACACATCACATTTGCTAAATTTGCTTATATAACCTTACATTAAACGTTTTAATGAACCATGCTATATGCTTACAGAAGTACTCTGCTAATGACTAGCAGCCTGCAGACTTGCTTAAAGAATGTCACACTTCTATAAATCCCTGAATCCATGATGAAGCAACCAACTGACATATCCAGAAACACACACTTAAAATCCATCACATTATCTCTGATTTACTTTCAAACATTTAAGTAATTTTGACTTCTTTTTTAATTCCAGAATATTTAAATGTGGAAACATACCAAAACAAAGTTGTGTGCAGACACTGGGGTACCTGGAATTATGTATTATGCTCACTAGGTTTTACATTTTATTTACAGTATCTCAGTCTGAATAGAATTTCTATAGTTGCTCTTTAAGGTTGCATTGGTTTTGATTATTTACCAAATATGGTAAGATGTAACTGTGCTGTGTATTATGACATATATTGTGGAATATAAACTTAAAAGATACATTTATTTTATTTTTGCAAAGCAGTAAAAGCAGAATTGAAACCAGAAAACACCAGGACTATTGAGTACAGAATAAATTTCCACCACTACCCGCACAGATCCAGCTCCACTGGAAACCACAGTGACAGAAGTACTAGAACAGACCAAGGATTGGCAAACCACAACCTCCTCACTAAAACATTAAAACTTGCTTCAAAAAAGATTAGGTGAAGAGGTTTTGTTGTTGGCTGGTTGTTTTTTTTCCAAACACCCGAGCTCCTGATTTACAATCTACTGTTGCTACTGCCAGTACTGGAACCCTGAAGCGGCTACATTTTGTTATTCAAAAGTTGTCCCTGCAGGGGTTTTTGTCTGTGTATTTGTTTGTATTTTTCAAGACAGTTCAGGTTCATCTGGAACATCTTTGGGACTAATGTCACCTTGCCTATGGTTGGATTTCTTGCTGAATTTGCTCTCTTCCAATCATCCCTTCAGGACTTGAAAAAAATCAAACCAAAACAAAAAACAATCAAAAAACCCCCAGACCAAATTAAGTCAAGAAAAAGGATTGAGCTCTGGTACAATATTTTCTTACACTTGCAGTTTTACAAATTTTATGCCTAGCTTAACTAAATGCTCCACTACAGTAGGAAAAAGAGTAAAAGTCTGTCATATCTACCTCAATTTCTTCCCAGGCAAGTTCCAGTTCTGATGTTCATAAATCACTCTCACGTTAGCTTAATGAAGTTTAAAAGCAAATATTTGCTGATAATTTGAGAAAGGTCACTTATATTGTTCAGCAGTGTTTGGCGTGAGCTAACGGAAGTTTGAAATATGTTTGCTGAGCAGGAAGCCAGTTCAATCAATTCTCCTCATTAGTAAGGATTTATCAAACTAATTAAAAAATTATGATGCATAACTTAAATTTCCTCAAAGGTAAAGTAATAATATTACAGTGGTTGATTAATGAAATAGACCATGTTTTAAACTAAGAAATTCCTAATTGTCCCTAATGCTAAAATAAGCAAAGACAACAGGAATCAATCAGGTAGGTGTATTTCTTGAAATACAACTGCAATTGCAATTATTTAATATCACTGTCATCATTAACTGAATATATTTTAATGACCCCACCAAAATGTTTAATCTTAAAAATCACTGTAGACCTATATGGCACACCTTAACAATTTACAGCACACACACACAAACACAGATCTATACAATGAAGTACAGACCACTGAAATAAAATGAGATGCCCATATCCTGAGAGAACCTCGCTTTGTGCTGGCTTCAGAAAATAAGTCTTTCCTTGCATCTACTTCAGAATAGAAGAGATTTGTCCATGGCTATACAAAGTTCTTTATATATCTTTATATATTTATATATCATCCTCCAGTAACCAGAAAACTTACACTGATGTACTTCTAATTCTATAGCACCATAAAACATGGACCACGTGTACATGCATGTACATGTGCCAGCACCATATATATATATATATATATGCTTCACATGATCCCTATCTGTTTTAATGATACAGAAACATTTTCCCCAACCCAAACGTCAGAAAATGCCAGGCTGCAGAACAATTACATGTTCTGTTCTATTTTGGAAAATGTAAATAAGTTACATAGTATCACATACCTGATCACTGTTTGTTAATAATCTTCTTCAAGTATTTTGGAGATAAAACTGAAAATCCACCCTTAAGAAACTCTTTGCCTGCTGGGATCAGATTTATATGACATATTGTATGCCCATTTAATAATTATCAAAAACCTCTTCTAAAACCGGAAGATAAAGAAACTGAACATAATTTTATAACCTATCTATAATCTCTTTAAAAAACAGATTTTAAAAAAAGCAGATCTTAGTTCTAATGTCATAAATAGCAAGATATCATAGTTTTCCAAGCCCTTTAAAAGAATTATCTGACGTCAAGACATAGGAAAACTGGTATGTTGTTGTTCCATAGAAACAGACCTGAAGCCACACATTGTTATAATGAGGGATATATTTACTGCTTGTTGAAAACATCCTAACTGCTATTTTCCTCCATCTATAGAGGTGGGACTCAGCCCTTCGCTGTATTTCCAGAATTTCCCCCTACAATGAATCCTTTATACTAAATAAACTATAGCTTTTTTTAGCGATTGTCAGATTTGAGGACTACAAATCTCTGTAGTTATTGCACCTTCCTCTTCTTGCATATAATCTCTCAATTAAAACAAATGTGTCCCCAAAGAACTTTGAAGAAGAGGCTAAATTAACAAACTGTTGAAGTGAACCAGAAGCGAGCCAGTCCCTTATGAATACAGAGTCTGTAATTAGCCAAAATGCTCCATTTTGCTGTTCATGCTGAGGCTCAATAAAATTTAAACACTGATGCAGGCAAGGCAGTCCCATGGGGCTCACGTTTATTAATACATTACCACTCACCAGTTGCTTCACATGAAATAAACTGGAACACAGCTTGAAACTGGCTGACTGCCTATTTGATATCATGGAAAGCTATGGATGATAAGTATTTTCTCCAATTTTCATATCCCTAGTGTCGTAAACTGGCTGAAAACATACTTAAATGGGGCTCCTAACAGTCAACATGCTCATAATGGTGCCAAACAAACACGACTCAGGTTCTGACTGATCAGACAATGACACTTCAGAGATTCTGCATGGAGTCACAGTCACACCTTTAGATCATCCCAAACCAATAATCACTAGCACTGGCTTTCCCAAAACCTCTAAAAAACCATCAGTTTCTTAAAACCGTATCTGAATTTAGTTCTAAGCTTGATTAGGATGCAGTCAGCAGCCCATACTTCAGGCATGACCTTTTTAAGCAGAAGTGCAGAATAATTTAGGTGGCTCCATTACTACTCTGAGGAAGGCAATTTATAGAAACGAATACATAGAATAAAATAGTTTAGAATTATGATTATTTTGGCTTCAATGGGACAGCGTCCGGAGAATGAGTGTTTATAAAAACTCTCTTTCAAGCTACAGATAAGTAACCCATGAATGCATCAATCCTACAGTTTCAGCTTTCTCAAATTCCTCAGAAACTGAGGCTCTCAGCATCCCTCTTGCATCGAGTTAAAATAAATACTATATGTCAACTTTTCTATTCACCTGATTAAAAAACGTAAACATTAAATACGTAGCTAATAAAATATTTAGTTTATCAAATAGCCAATGTTCAAGAAAGGGTATTTCTAAAGCCTGTACTACAACAATATTATCAGTTGATAGGGGTTTATAGCTTTTTTTGAATAGCTTTTTTTTTTAAATGGGTGCTTTTATAAGCACTGCAAGCTGCAACAGCAAAACTATTTACTTCAAAAAGAATGTTCCAAAATGAATAGGCTGACGTTCTGAAATTTCAGTTCTTATCCAGAAATCCTCTATCTTGTCTTGCTTTGTCCTTCCAAGGTCATCATGACTTCCACATACTGCCACTGGATGGCTTTAATTCTCATCAACTTCACAAATCCTGGGCTAGTTTATACTCACCTTGCGCAGGAGGAAGCAAATACGCTCAATATTTCTCAGCCGCTCTCTCTGTCAAGAAAAAGTGGGGAAAAGGTAGGAGATTAGCTGGGTTTATAAATTAAAGACAATATATTACGATTAAAATGGGTCAAGATCATAATTCATGGCTGCAGGAAAGCAACACACGTTATTAATCTGAAATTATAGTATTCACTTCTTACCTACTGCTTGCAAGCTAAATGATTTACCCATTTCAAAGTCCCAATAAGTTATTTTTTAATCTGTTTCTGGGTGTAACAATATGAACTGGGGATTCAAGTCTGTGTTAGCCTTGAGCCAGTGGCTGCAACTTCTTTTTCAGTCAGCATTTATGACTCTATCCAGTGGTGCCAATCTATACCACAAAGACAAAATATGGGCACAAGCAACTATGCACAGGGAAAAAAGAAAATACACTTGACCAAAGATATAAGAAATATCTGCTAAAAATCTTCCTTTTATGTCATTATAAAAGGCATCAACATATATTCTGTGCAGAAGAAAGCAATCTGAGATTATTGCTTGTGTTATCACAGAAAGTTTCATAGAAGAGCATCAAATATGTCAACTTATCACAGAACACTTTGCTGCATTTTACTGCAAACTCTACTATTAACTTTTTGATCTGACTGATACAATTGAAACAGGGACTTAGTAACTTTTTTTTATCCTGGAGAACAATTCCATTACTATTCTAAAATAAGAGGAAATTATCTCCATGGAACATCTTGCAAGTTTTAGGAAGAGAAAAAATTACTGGAATTTGGTACATATAAATACACATTCCTCATGTGCACTTCTCAAGATAGGAAATAAAAACAGATAAAGTGAAGTCAAAATCAGATTACTTCCAGTAAATTCAAAACCAGATTACTCCCATTGAAGTTCTCTATAGGATTTCTTCATAAAATTTTTCTTCTCTTCTCATTCTTTGCTTATCTGTCAGTGAACAGTAAACAAGTCTCCTTATTTGAAGAGTCACGTAAAGATTTCGGTTAAAATCATCACTGATCTAAGCAGTACCGCAAATCCTCTGCAGAGTTATGAAACAAGATTAAATGGTGAAGTACTAGCTACTCCATCTGGTTATCACTTGTAGGCAATTCAATAATTGATACTCTGTAGAGATCAAATTCAGCACCTGCCATAATCATTGCAGTTCCCAGTGAGGTGACGGGGAGCCAAGTTCTGCTCTCAGTTCTGGTGGCACAAATCGGATGCATGTTTAACCGTAGTCAGCTAAATCACCCTAGATTACAGCTTTAATTAACAGAAGAATTTTCATATGCTAAAATCTGGGTTGCGTTTTGGTTCATTAGGTAAAACTGAGTTTACAGTCCCAGGGTGATATTTAACCTTTTCTGTAGCAGACACAGCAGAATATATTATTCAGTCTTAAAGCAAAGGAAAATCTACATCCCCATGATAGGATAGAGAGGGCTAGAAACACACCTCTTATCAAATCCCTACAAGCTTTTGACTCATTGAATCAGACAATATGGGAGAAGGTGGTCATCCCACACTTGAATGCAGAGAAAGTAAATTACTTCCATAAGGAAAACTTGTGCCACAGAATGAAAAGATAAAAAGAAAGCATTAGCATCATGTTATATAGCCTTCAGTTTTTAAACTTCCAAATTATTTTCCTGCCTCCCTCAGCAAAAAAGAAAGCTATTAGCATAAAGAGTGGCCATCTGGCTTCCTAGCACTGGCCCAATAAATCAATGTTCCAGACTACAGCTGACTTCACAACGGACTCTGCATTTGTTTCCACACTCATACTTTCACTGGCAGCTCACGTTTAGCGAGGCACTGGTGGTACTCACTGCGTGGACGGGGTTACACTGATCTATCGGGCTTTTGAAGTCTGTCCGAAGTTCATCAAAGGCAATTATCTGAAAAACAATTTTTTTTTTCAAATATTGTAATGAATGCTTATTCAAACACTTATTTTCCCTTTAGGGACCAGTTAGATGCATAACCTTCCTTCCTTTCCAGAGAAAATATGGGAAAGTTGTTTCCCTATCATGCTGCATTCAGAACTAACCAGTTAAAACAAAACATGGAATATTCTTACATATGACAAATAGAATCCATTAATCTGTCATTTTGTAAAATCATATCTAAAGCCTTTTCAGTATTGTTGCTTTCCAGATTTCCTCCCTCCTATCAGCTAGAATTCTTTCCTCAAACTTCCACATGACATCAAACTATTTCACAAACGAACACATCTCCAGACTTGATGAAAAAAGTCATTAAGCTGCCTAAACCACAGAGATAGATCAGATATGCTATTCCAGGTTTAATACAAACATAACAGCACCTTTTCATTAGCTGTTAAACCTACTTCAGCTATTAATTCTGAATTAATATCAACTAAATTACTATTAAGCTGCTGTTCACTATCAAGCAAACACCTAAAAAGGTAAACCACTCTAGAGCAAAACATGCCCTTCCTAAATTCCAGCAGGTTTTAGAACCTTACTTCAGACCTCATTAATGGAGAGATATCTTTTACTCATGTCTTTAGTTTCCTCCATTACCTGATGGATTGAGACACACTGGGACCTACTGCCTCCTTTAAAAGTACAACAGATAAAAGTGCCCATAAAAATAATAATGACTGATAAAGTTTTCTTGGAAAGAAAACAGTTATAACAACCCCCAGCATATTTCATTCAAAGATCTCAAAGCACATTCTTAACTCTATTTTATGTTTGTATTCTAGTAGTAGCTTTTCTTCTGCTTACTTCACCCAAGGAATGAAAGTACTGTATGACAGGCACCACATAAATAGATGTTAAAACAATGATTCCTTTTTAGTCAATTTACAAGCTAGGAAGGTATTTGTTTTCAAGAAAAAGATGATGGAAGCACAAGGTAGCAGTTGGGTAATTAGCATATGAGCGCAACAACCATTCTATAGCACATTACAGCATGCCTACTGCCTACCTGTTCAAAAAGTAACCAACTGGGTGACAACACAGACCTGCTGTATTGGTAAAACACGCTTATTTTACAGATACGGAATGCAAGAGGACAAATCCTGAAAAGGGTCTATCCAAGATTCCTATAGTAATCTGGTGAGAGGCTTAAGAACAAAACTTAGAGCTACAATCCACAAATCCAGGCACTACTGCACATCTCACTCTAATGCTACATTCATCACACTGAGGCACATTTAAAATCATAAGTGTGGCATTTTACAAGAGCACTCTACAGAAGTCAATTTATTCAAGTATGACAAGTCAAAGTGCCAGAATAAACCACAAAGGGAGCTATAAAACATGATTATAAGGAAAGCATTTCTCCCCATGTATGCAGTACCTCTACAAGTCAGGAACTAGATCTGCAACAGATTGTTTAAATTAAAGTAAAAGAGGAAATACCAGAAACTGTGAAAGGGTCAGAGTACAACTGTGAAGAATAAGGCTCACAACACCTCTATAATAATTCTTGAATGGATTGTCGTATTCTCAAACAGGACCAACTGTTAAGAGGGTAACAGCCACGTGAGTCGGATGCACAGATTTCTGTTTATAATTGGGTATCAATATCAGCAGCAAGAGCCTCGACAGACAGAGGAAGGCTGGCCCTGAAACAGGGAAGTGAGCTGCCTCTGCTCATTCCTGGGCTACTGATTTGATTTGGGATCCTGGGCATCTCCCTTAAATCAGTAATGCCCCACCTGCAGTGCAATTTACAAATGTAGCTTTAAGATAGAAAACTGTTACAAGCTTTTTGACAACTGGTTTTAATAATGTAAAAGCTTTTCTTCTGTTGTTCAATGCGGAAATGAGATGAAATTTCCTTAAAAAAACCCCACCCAAACAAAGAAAAAAACCCACAAACCCCAAAGGGTGAATGTGCTGTGCTCTTCCTTTTGGTAGCCAGTAACAGCAACCAGGCGTGTGACAATCACAAAGTGACAGCCAGCACAAGACCCAGCTCCTGCTGTGGGGAAAGACTGGTGTGAGACAACACCACGGGGAACCTGAACACTGAAATCATACGGTGGACCCCCTCCAGGAAGTCCAGGAAAGCCTCTAAAGATCCACTGAACACAGAGGTGGGATGAGAACCCTGAAGCATGTTTAGATAAAGAAGAACTATGTCGCTCTGAGAAACAGAGCCATTAAGGCAGGGCTCTGTTGAGCTCGCCTTAACTAATGCAGTAAGTCCTGAAGAAATTCTAAATAACAGTGCAGAAAAGAAATTCACCTCAAATATACTACCCATTTCAATTTCCTCATTTTTTGCTTTCCCTCTTTTTTTCTTTTACCAGCATTCCCAACTCGGTAGTCAAAATCCTACTCTATTTGCTGGCATGCAATTTATTTTATATTATGTTCCACTGAAAGAAACCTGACAGTATTAAGTATGTTGTTTTCATGGAACCAGCAAGTGTAAATTCAATAGTCTCACAGATAAACCTTTTGGGACAATGTTAAGAGATATTCCTTCTACACCCGCAAGAAGCAGATTGAGGTCTGGTATCAAGCACACAGGATTGGAGGAAAGTTTCTTTGGTAAAATTCCAGCATCCCTGTGGAAAGAGGCTGACAGCAATAAATCCCCCTCAATTCTTAGAATTTTATTTCATAACATTTCCATAATAGTTTATATTTTGTTAAATCCTCAGGAACAGGAAATCCACTGATGACATGATGATATCTATTTCGATTTATGGAAAAAGCACATTCCTATTTCTCAGTCACAGGAAAAGCTTGAAGGTGTAACATTAGGCAGGGAGGGAATACAAAGAAACTCTCAAAGTTTTTTTTGGGGGTGGGAGGGGCATGGGGTTTTTGTGGTGTGGTTTTGTTTTTTTTTTTTAATCTCAAAATGCTGTGTCCCCTAATTCTAAAACTGTAAATGAGAAACGATGCAAACAAAGCTATAGGTTCTTCTGATTGGGAGTTGCTCACAATACACCATGTAATCGTGCAACAAATCATTTTGTATTACTGAAAATAAGACTAATTCTGGGGTTTGCTGCAGTGTGGTTTAAATATTTAATTAGGAAACCTCTTCCTCTTTCAATTTTAACTAGCCTTGTGTAGCAGTACCCTACAGCAGGTGTGGTCAGAGTTGCCTTTTAACCAAATAACTAACTACTTGCATCCATGAAGTATTTCACAACATTTTCACAGGAGGTGCAGTGTTATGGCCATACTCCAGAGAAACAATCTTCTGCCTGTTTACATTTAACTTACATTTTCAAGCTACCTGCTTCCCATACATCAGTCAATGGGAGCTATTGGATGCTCTGGGACAGCATCTGGGGGTGCTCAAACTCTGTTTCACCTCCAAAATTTTCACAATTATCAGCATCTTGACAGAGCGGTCCATGTGGAGGCAAATACTGTAACAGACCCCAGTCAGGGCACTTCACCATATGAACGGCCATCACTTCAGCTTTGTAAATGAATTGGAACAACAGATGCGGAAATGAGATGAAATTTCCTTAAAAAAACCCCACCCAAACAAAGAAAAAAACCCACAAACCCCAAAGGGTGAATGTGCTGTGCTCTTCCTTTTGGTAGCCAGTAACAGCAACCAGGCGTGTGACAATCACAAAGTGACAGCCAGCACAAGACCCAGCTCCTGCTGTGGGGAAAGACTGGTGTGAGACAACACCACGGGGAACCTGAACACTGAAATCATACGGTGGACCCCCTCCAGGAAGTCCAGGAAAGCCTCTAAAGATCCACTGAACACAGAGGTGGGATGAGAACCCTGAAGCATGTTTAGATAAAGAAGAACTATGTCGCTCTGAGAAACAGAGCCATTAAGGCAGGGCTCTGTTGAGCTCGCCTTAACTAATGCAGTAAGTCCTGAAGAAATTCTAAATAACAGTGCAGAAAAGAAATTCACCTCAAATATACTACCCATTTCAATTTCCTCATTTTTTGCTTTCCCTCTTTTTTTCTTTTACCAGCATTCCCAACTCGGTAGTCAAAATCCTACTCTATTTGCTGGCATGCAATTTATTTTATATTATGTTCCACTGAAAGAAACCTGACAGTATTAAGTATGTTGTTTTCATGGAACCAGCAAGTGTAAATTCAATAGTCTCACAGATAAACCTTTTGGGACAATGTTAAGAGATATTCCTTCTACACCCGCAAGAAGCAGATTGAGGTCTGGTATCAAGCACACAGGATTGGAGGAAAGTTTCTTTGGTAAAATTCCAGCATCCCTGTGGAAAGAGGCTGACAGCAATAAATCCCCCTCAATTCTTAGAATTTTATTTCATAACATTTCCATAATAGTTTATATTTTGTTAAATCCTCAGGAACAGGAAATCCACTGATGACATGATGATATCTATTTCGATTTATGGAAAAAGCACATTCCTATTTCTCAGTCACAGGAAAAGCTTGAAGGTGTAACATTAGGCAGGGAGGGAATACAAAGAAACTCTCAAAGTTTTTTTTGGGGGTGGGAGGGGCATGGGGTTTTTGTGGTGTGGTTTTGTTTTTTTTTTTAATCTCAAAATGCTGTGTCCCCTAATTCTAAAACTGTAAATGAGAAACGATGCAAACAAAGCTCTAGGTTCTTCTGATTGGGAGTTGCTCACAATACACCATGTAATCGTGCAACAAATCATTTTGTATTACTGAAAATAAGACTAATTCTGGGGTTTGCTGCAGTGTGGTTTAAATATTTAATTAGGAAACATCTTCCTCTTTCAATTTTAACTAGCCTTGTGTAGCAGTACCCTACAGCAGGTGTGGTCAGAGTTGCCTTTTAACCAAATAACTAACTACTTGCATCCATGAAGTATTTCACAACATTTTCACAGGAGGTGCAGTGTTATGGCCATACTCCAGAGAAACAATCTTCTGCCTGTTTACATTTAACTTACATTTTCAAGCTACCTGCTTCCCAT